TATCTGCCCCCCAAAACCAGTCGCCTTTCCAACGTCTGGACCAAATTTAGGCCTATCTCACCCAAATTTTGGCCAGGGTTTCCGAGAAGCCTCCTTTTTTAACGAAAAGCGTTAATGTTAGGGCAACTGAAATTTTGGCATCTTCCTGCTTATCTCTTTTTACCAAAATGCTCAGTTAAGGTGATAAAGAGAAGGAAAGGCCTACCCTTCTCGTAAAGAGGCTACGAACGCGGTGGTAGCACTCCTACCAGGGGTGGTAATGGACCCGAACCCGACCAACGACCCGCTAGGTACACCCGATTCGGGTTTTGGACCTGAATCATACCTGTGAATTGTTCGAGATAAAGATACTTTATTTTAAGACTTTTTCGTTTAAGTGTATTCAAGATTGTATCATCGTATATTATAAGAACTGACAACTATCTCTAACTATTAATCTACAAATTAGACTGCTTTAAATCTAACAGCGGATGATTGTGATCTTGTTGCTAATAATACGGATATATAATAGCAAAAAAAAATAAAAAAAAAAGATAGAAAAAACTCATCCTGAAAGTATGGGTCCAATTTTTTGGACCCAACAGGTCGGTTCTAAGTCCAAAACCCAAATTTGAATACTATTTAGGTCTGAGTCTGGGTCCGGATCCTGGTCTAGTTGAACCTAACCTGTTGCCACCCCTAACTCCCACACCTTAGTCATCATGTTATGGTTTTCATTCACAATAACGCCACTTCACTAACACCCACTACACTAAACCTTTTTAAAAAACAGGGTAGAGGGTTTTCTTCCATACTGAATTACCAAAAAAAAGCCTACCCTTTTTCCACAATGGGCTTTTGGAAACCATTTAATATTTCAATTTATTTATTAATTTTATCGAGGTTAGATTTGGGTGTATTTTTTGATAGAGTTGATTACGTATAGACCTGAAAGCAAGATTTGAAAATATGGTATGCTTCTTATATACCCAGAAATTACAACCAAAGTCAGTCAACGTGATTTTTTTTTACCAAAATTACCTTTCTGTCTTAGGATGGCATTCTCGGATTGCTTGTTAATTTTTTTTTTTATGTATTTATTTAGCAGGGCAATGTCCGACGTTTAAGGGGCACGGCCCATGCAGTCTAAAGATGGGAGCCTCATACCGCTTTTTGGACTAAAACAAAAGTCCTAGAGTGGTCCGAGGTCTCCATCATCAAACCTCTTATTCTTATAATTTTATAAAAACATAAAAGGTTTGAGGATAGTAACTTCAGACCACCCTGGAGCGGTCTGAGGTCCCCATCCTTGGATCGATTATACTTGTAATTTTGAAAAGAGTAAGCAGTCAGAGGATGGGACCCTCGGACCGCCCTGACGCTTTTATTTTTTTAGTCCAGAGAGAGGTCTGACGTCCCCAGACCGCTTATTCTTGTAATTCTAAAAAGAGTAAGCATTCCAAGCTTCCCATCTTCGGATTGCCTGAGCATTCCAAGCTTCCCATCTTCGGATTGCCTGAGCATTCCAAGCTTCCCATCTTCGGATTAACTGAGCAATGCCTTTTAAACGTTGGACACTGCCCTACTAAATAAAAATAATAATATAAATAATTAAAAAGTAGTAAAAAAATGGCATCTTTAGACCGAGGAGTAATTTTGTTAAAAAATAAAAAATTGAATTTTCTGATCTTGATTGTAATTTTTTGGTATATAGAGGGCATATAGTATTTTCGGATCGTTTTTCAGGTCCGTACATAATTAACACGTTTAGATATCAAATCATATCAAATCCAAGATATCGATATCGTCAAAACCTCTCAAATCTAGTACTCACTCATTCTACAAAAGGTGCAGTTTGCATACAGATGCATCCGTAGGTGTAGAGGAGAGGTGCCCCTTCAAATTATATCATCGTATATAGTTTTGATGTAAAATGTTCTTTGGATTATCACAAAATCTATTTTTATATCTAATTATAATATTTTAATCCAGGATATCGATATCGTCAAAACCTCTCATATCTAGTACTCACTCATTCTAAAAAGGGTGCAGTTTGCATACAGATGCATCCGTAGGTGTAGAGGAGAAGTGCACCTTCAAATTATATCATCGTACATAATTTTGATGTAAATGTTCTTAGGATTATCACAAAATCTATTTTTATATCTAATTATAAAAATTCAAATTTAAAAAATAGTTAAAATCAAGTAGATCTGTAAACATATGAAAATGGATGGTGTAGATAATATATTGTAAAATGCACTATTTCTGAACCTTAAAAACTTTTTATTTTTCATACATCTTGATGTCGAGATGACCAATCAAAGGGCTTTTCAACATTAAAACTACTTTTTTTAATGGATTTTTGAGGGGCATTTGTTGTTCTACATTATAAGGTAGCATTCTTATATAAACTTTTTCGTTCTAAAAAAAAAAAAACCTGAAATGTGTATTTTCAAGCATTCGGTAAAAACTAGTTTTTATTGCAATGGGGTGTACCCATTCATACTTCTGTTCTCCTTTTCTTAACATTATGTTACTAGTTTTTTGCATTGAGGTGTTTACCCATTCATACTCCTCTTTCCCTTTTCTTAACATTATGTTATTATGATATTCTGGAACTATTATAATAAGAAAAAAGATTATATAAAGTCACAACTTCAAAATGAAGGATAAAGGTAAACCTCAAAAATCTATCGGAAAAGGTTATTTTAATGTTGAGAAACCATTTAATGGATCATATTGATATCAATATCTATGAATATGAAAAAAAAAAAGAAAAAAAGTTTTTCTAAAAAACAGTGCATCATGCAACATATCATCAGGGCAGCCCATTTTCATAAGTTTCTTATGTTCATAGAATAGAAACATTTTTAGAGTTTAAATTTTTTTAATTAGATATGACCATAGATGTTCAAAGCCATCTGAAGTATTTGACACCTAAATTACATGCCATGTTAAAATTTGGAGGTCCACCTTATGCAAACCACACCTTATAATAATGTTATAAGTAATTTATATTATCTATACTAAATATTTTATTATTATTATTACATTATTACATTATATTATAACAAAGTATCATATACGATAATATTACAGTGTAGTATGCTGATATTAAAATTTATCTAATTTTTATTACAACATTTTTAATATCAATAAGGTTTTATTAAATTTGATAAAATTTCATTAAATAATTATATATTCAATATCACATAATTATTATTCTATAATTATAAAATCTGATAAAATTATTATATAATCAATATCGCAATGACATTATTATTTAATTATATAATTTACATATTATTATTACTACTGTTGCAGCGGCCGCTACTACTACTACTTGAATAATAAAATTATGAGTAGTATATACTTCGTTAACCTTGTGATGCTCATAATTTAGTACTATTACTTGAGAATTACGTATTCAATAAAAATGCGCCAACAAATTTTTTTCAAATAAACAATATATTAGAAAATATACTATTTCTAGATGGGTGGGGTTTTTATAACGTTGCAACTTTAAATAATCCAATTAGGTAGCACCTCCAAATTTTATCATAACATTTTATTTTCCTGTAAACGAATAATAGGATTATCTTAAAATCGATTTTCATATATAATTAAAAAATTTTAAACTTAAAAAATGGTTAAAATCAAACAGATCTATAAACAAATGAAAATCTTGAAAATTGACGGTCTTGATAATGGGTTGCAATATGCGCTATTTTTAGGTCTCAAAGGCATTTTTTTTTTCATATCTATAAATCTCGATGTCGACATGATCAATTAGAGCATTTTTCAACATTAAAACAACATTTCTGAATGATTTTTTAGGTGCCTCTATAATTCTACATTTTAGGGTTGCAACTTTATATAAATTTTTTCCTTTGTATATATAAAAGAACAGAAGAGAACCATCTAATTTGTTTGTATTATAGATGGCTTATTTCTTAGAAATCTTCTTAATTGGAGAGAAACCAATATGTAACCATCAATCCACGAACAGAATAGCTAAACTGGTTAATCAACAAAACGTGAAAACAAGATTTTACAACCACCAGAATTTGCAAACCCAAGATTTGCTAAGGAAGTTCCATAGTAGGTCATCTCACTCAAAAAAAAGATTAAAAAAAAAAAAGAGGAATTCACATATCCAAGAATTGACGTTTGTCAGATTATTGATAGCTTATTTCTAAGATATCTTTTTAACTGGGGATAAACCAATATGTAATCATTAAATCATGAGCTGAATACATTCACTGGTTAATGAACAAACTGCGAAAACGATATTTTACAAGTACTTAATTAACAAACTACGAAAAAGGGATTTTACAAGTACCCGAATTTGCACACCCACGATTAGCTAAGGAAGTTCCAGACTAGGTCACCTCACTCAAAATAACTCACTCAAAATAAAGAACAAAAATTAAAGAAATAACATACCCAAGTATTGATCCACAACCCAGTTTTGCAAAAGAACGGCCCCAAACGACCAATTAGAGAATCTTTATTTAAAAAACCGCACGTAAGGTCCCAAACGATCAATTGGCATGGTATCTTACGAAGATTTTCGGACCAATCTCAAGATCAAGACCATACATGATCTTGCATTTTATCTCCCAGGATATTTACCTGCTCTCATACAAAGGACGCAAGAGTTGGCCGCATTTGCACAAAAACATGAATACGTTTTGAAAACTGAAAATATTATTGAAACCTTTCCCCAAGAGAAAAGTTTATATAGATCTAGGCTCTATGAAAAATCAAATTAGAGCTCAAAATCAAGAATTTTACTAGAAGAGGTTGTTTTAATACAAGATCCTAAAATTGATCATCTCGACATCAAGGTGTATGAACATAAGAAAAAAATAGATTACAAATTTTAAAAATTGTATATCTTGTAACACATTTTTGGGCTGACTGTTCATAAATCCACCCAATTTACACCATCTTTTAAGCATTTAATTTTATAAGTAAATACAAAAATATATTTTAAGGCTATCGCAAAGATTTTCAAAATTCAAACCACATTTCTCATACTTATTGAAGGTGAGCTCCAATTTGACAACTTAGAGCCTTGGCCATATACAGACCGCACACTTCCACCGGGATAAAAGTAGTTGTATAAACAGTAGTCTCAACCTCCACAAAGTGCCCTCGTGAATTGCAAAATCTACGAGCAGTCATAAAAAAGTTACGATGGCAGCATCAATCACCAAGTGTTGGAGTCTGATTCACCTGGTTAGACTTGGAACGAACACTGAGTGGGCTTGGGATGCAGTTACGAAAATTTTACAAAAAGTGAAATTCTTGGGAAATTAAAGGTTTCTAGATAACAGTATCCCCAGCCTCCCAACCCAAAGTGGTTCAGAGTCAGAATGCCATGCTTCACGCCTCGGCCAAAGGTGTGCTACTGACAGGTGACGGGAAATTAGTTATAAGCTTGAACGAAGAAATGACACCCCATGCATCCTTAAAAGTGTCATCTTGGAACATATATTCTCAACCCCGGCCATACATGTCTAAATTGGAGATTTCAGACTCAGAAACAATGGCAAGTATACAAGAACCCCAGAACAAATATAAAAAAAAAAAAACCTAACACGGATATTCGGATGCTCCATCAAGAAATACAAGATTCCCGCAACACGTGGCACAATAAAACACCTCCAAAAAATTAATTGATGAGATATATAAAAAAATAGATAACTTCTAAAAAATACAAATAATAATCCTTTTAAAAACAATTGGCAGTATTAGTTTCAAATGTTTTTTAAAAAAATTGGCAGTGCTAGTATCAAAGCACTATTAATCAAAGATTAAAAGGAAAATCACACAGTCCGAGACCAAAGTCTCAGTTAAAACAGTACCGCCAAAACCTCCGTTGGCATGGAAATCTGCTAATACATTGGCCTCACGGAAGATGCGCACCAAAAAACAAGAGGCTAAACAAGTCCCAAATTTGTAACAAAATACCCAAGGTGATTTTTACTCCATATTGCGTCACTTTATGACCTTCACCGAATCGCCTTCCAAAAGACCCTAAATTTCTTATGACCTTCAACGAATCGCCTTCCAAAAGACCCTAAATTTCTTACCATGAAAATTTTTAAACCATTGTAAAGAGCCGGTGCCCAATTTGCAGTTCTCTCCCAGGAGGCCTGCATAACAAATACAACAAATCTATTCGAATCCCTTACCTAACAGGAGATCTGCATAAGAAAATACAACAAATCTATTCCAATCCCACACCACTCCTCTATAACGACCCGAGCTTCTTAACTAGCTACCATCATAATTAAGTTTAAAAACCCCCATCAAAAAGGGTTCTCTAACTTTCTCCTAGTCACAACTGTAGAAATGCAACATCCACCCAATTAAAACAATTTTCCAACAAAAAAACCAAAACACCCTGAAACCGAAAAGCTAAGTGTATACCAAAGTACCAAAAAAAATCTATTGAACTGTAAGATTGGTCAGCAGAATACATGCAGGCACCAAATTTAAAATCCAATGCTCAAGATTAATTACGACACACCCGTTCCAAAGGATAAATGACCAAACATAGTCCCAACAAACAAAAGCATGAGAAATCAAATAAAGACATTGAATAGATAAACGAAAAGAGTTTATTCTTAATAAAGCTTGCAAGAAAATTCCAGACACAAATTCAGACGAGAAAAACACTTAAATTTGATAAGTTCACCAAAAATGGTAGACACCAAACAGGTTTAACAAAATCATTACAGGGCCTCAATGATTTCGTTTGAATCTCAAGCCTTCATACACCTTAGACGTTTTACTTACATTGACACATTTTGGAGCCCAATGCCCAATGGGCTACAACAAAAAGTGCCTTCAAATCTCCATTCTTAAAGATCAATCATCAGGCTATCAAAAAAGAATATAATAAAAATACAACTGGAATCATGTAGTAAGAAAATTGCAAAAATGGTTAGTCAGAGCACAACAATTCGAAATACAGTATAATTGTCTACAATCATGACTCCTGAAAATTTATGACAAGAAAATCAAGACTTTTGGCTAATTCTCACCCCCGCATATCAAACCCTGATCATTCACATGGCTGTCATTTGGAGCACAACGCATGTTAGGTTACACAAAAAAGTACAAGACATCTACATAAATTTCTTTAACATAAGCTTGCAAGATAACTTGAAAACACACATTAAGGAAAACTACTAAAATCTGGTGTGTAAGAACAATGTCAGTACCTAAAAAACCTAAAAGAAATGCCAAGAACTTCAGTTCAATCTCCAGACGTCATAAACCCTAAACCTTTCTTTACATGAACCCTTTTTGGGCCCCAATGCAAGAACTAGGTTAAGGGGCCCTCAAACTGTTATTTTAATCAGCAGGCTAGCTAAAAAATAACGATTCATCTTCCATTCTTATGAGGTTGCAATTTGATATTCAATTGAAAAACATAAAACATAGAAAGTAAGGAAAACAAAACGACCCAAAAATTCAGACCACGACAAAACCTAAAGAAAACTGCAACAACGGAAAAACAAAATAAATGGCCAAAAAAACAGCCTCAGATAAAGAATAATAATTAGAAATAGACACTACCAAGAACCACGCTAGATAAATATAGACCTAAGATCATTTGAAATTAGCCCTTCTACAACGGATTATTACATACCAGAGTAAGTGAAACAGTATGCATTTAAATAAGGAAAAAGTTAATATAAAGATGGAACCTAAAAATAGGACACCTAAAAAACCATCGGAAAAGGTCGTTTTAATTTTAAAAACCCCTCTAATTGATCCTCTCAACATCGAGATGTGAGTACAAAAAAAAAGATTTCGAGTCCCAGAAATAATGCATCTCGCAACACATTATCTACACCATTCATTTTCAAGATTGTCAAATATTTTTACAGAAAATCTACATGATTTTAACCTTTCTTTTAATTTAAAATTTTTTAGTTAGAGATAAAAATAGATTTCCAGAGTCTTATGAATTTTTTACAACAAAATTACATGTTACGATAAAATTTGGAGTGCCCTAATTGGATTGATAACGGTTGCAACCTTGTTCAAACCACACCCGTTAAATAAATAGGATATACCCAAATGGAAAGTGGTAAAATTATTGTTGCACTTTATCATAAAGTTAATGAAACTAAATGCCTTCAAACAGACGAGCCATCACAGATAAAGGTTAACAAAGACCCAGACAAAAAAAAACAAAACGATGAAATGACTGTTACAAAAACCCATTTTTCTCACTTAATAAGGGTGGAACAAAAGTTCAAATCGGTTTCTAAATTACTGCAGTTTTTCAGAAAACCACGTTTGTTAGAGTTCAATTTACATACATATCGATAACCAAATAGAACTGATTTTAAGAAACGACGACAATATACTTTAGTAGATGGAAAATTACGCATCAGAGAGATTCCCAAGACAAATCACAACATATGCCCCAAGGGATTTCTGATGTCCCTGTCTATCTTCACATCACATGCATGATACATTCCTCACTAGCCAAAACTCCAACAATAATCACAAAAAAAAGATACCCTAAAATTGCTAAGGACCCAAAACTTAGAGATAAAGGGTTAATATCAATATCAAAGTGATTTTAAAAAAAGGCGACAATAGTAAAGGGAACATTATGCATCAGAGAGATTCCCAAGACAAATCATCACATTCCACAAGGGATTTCTGATGTCCCTGTCTATCTTCACATCACATGCATAACACACCTCACTAGCCAAAACACCTACAAATGCAAAATACCAGGCCCCAATAATTAAAAAGAGTAAATTACTTCAAACACAGAAATAAGCACCCACATGCGAATAAAAACACAAAAGAGCCCACCATTTTCCTTGTGCAGTAAAAATTGAAAATCTTAACAACTTTGGTTAACAAAAACACAATGTTTTTACAAGACACAAAAAATACTCAGTGCATTAATTTACAAACATGAAGAGTGTAAGAAACCAGAAAGACATATCTTAGAAGCATGGAATAAGAAGGAATGAGACACTATGAATCACAGAGAAAAGAAACGCAGCCATATGAAAATCTAACAAGATATATAAGACGAGCATTCCACAACGAGTATTATGCATCAGAGAGATTCCCAAAGACGAGTCACCATACCCTGGAAGGACTTCTGATCTCCCTGTCTATCTTGACATCATATGCAAAGAAAATGAGCCTAAAATATATGGTAGTCAAAAGCTCGAAAAGTAAAAAATAAGGATTCAGGCATTCACCTTTATAAATGCCACTGAACCTAAAGACTCAAAAGAATGAGATAATAAAGATTCAGAGAATATCTTTTATAAAATACACCATGGCAACATCAAACAATTTATATAAAACATGCACTGCACAACGAGTACTATGCATCAGAGAGATTCCCAAAGACGAGTCACCATACCCTGGAAAGACTTCTGATGTCACGGTCTATCTTTACATCATATGCATATAAAAGGAGCCTAAAAATATAATAGTCAAAAGCCTCAAAAGAAAGAGATAATAAAGATTCAGAGTCTCCTTTATGAATACCTCTGAATTTCAAAAACGACAACCTATACGCAAGTAATAATAACAACAAACTAAAGGGGGAGAGTTTACAGACCATAGACAGTGAACCATAAAAGAACAAAATTAAACATAAAATGGCTGATGGAGTAAAAATCTAGCAGAAGCTAGGCTTCAGAACAAATGATAAAAAGCATGTCCCCAATTAATCTTCAGAAAAAACGTGCAAGTAAAACATCATTGGCACAATCCAATCTCCCTTACAGTAAATTCATCCCTAGAAATGAAATAACGCCCTCTTTGACTACTAGAAAATTAATTTCCTGATATTCTACTTCGGAAATGGGGCATATCCAATGATTGACACCCAAATTTGAAAATAAACCTCCTCCACCCTCAACCATCTCACACTCAACGGAATTTCCAGTAAGGTTTTTCCAGAGAGCATCAGAAAGGGAACGAAATTCATAGGCAAGAGACAATTGACGCTATAGAAAATTTATTACCAGATAGAAAGATTTCCACTTATATAGTTGGACGATAATTTCCCCAATAATGAGTTAAAAACAGAGACCAAACGAACCTCTCCCCGCAATTTGTGTATCAATCACAAAAAATCGCTGGATATGCCACACTTCCAGGGAAAGAAAACCAAGGGAAAACATTTCAGTAACCGAGTGGGATGGAATGAAAAGACAAGTAAACATAAAAGAATATCACAGATTATAAGTTAGCTTGCAATATATCTATAACCAGCCCAGGCAAGGTATAAGTGAAAAAAAATATAAGAGACGGACAAAGACAGCAAAGGAAACCCCAAAGCAACAAAAAACAACGAATTAAATCTACCCCAAAAGAAACTGCCAATATGGAAAAAAAATGCGGTTTGTATAGAGCCGAGGTTCCAAACAATCAAAGCAAAGCGCACCTTCAAATAGCGTTGAGAAATGTGATTACAATACTAGAAATCTTGGTGATAGCCTTAACATATATTTTCATCTTTAATTATAACATCTAAAGCTTCAAAAATAGTGTAGATCGAACAGATCTATGAAAACTTGAAAATCTTGAAAATTGACAGTCCAAAATTGTATTTCAAGACGCACTATTCCCAAATCTTGCAAATCCAGTTTTTTTTCATGTCCATGCCCCATGATGTCGAGATGATCAATTTGAAAATATTTGGACATCAAAAAAACCACTTCTAATGAAATTTTTGTGGTAGGCTATAACTAAATTGTTAGGAGCCTTGGCTATATATATACCTTTTCCATTAGTAAATACTACTAAAATAACTTAATTATCCATTCTGATAAACACATAGAATACAATAATTGGTGATAGAAAAAGATAGCCTCAGAGGTAGTGACAAACAATGAATCATCATTTGTTCATCTGATAATACGTGCATGTAAACATCATGGGCTAGCAAAAAATTGGAATATTGATAACAAGATGGAAAATATGCCACAAGAAAAAAATGAAAAGCATCACGACCTAAGATTTTTTTTTCTCAAAAACATCAAAAACAACCAAGAAAAAAAATGATCCCAAAATTTCCATTCTTTTCAAGCTAGACGCCTCAGGGAAGAATATGGCCAAATGAATACAGTGCAATGGGAGAGTCTCACACAGA